GTTATGTGAATACAAAAGTCATAGTTAAAGGTAAAATAATTAATTGAGGTAGTTAACTCTTTTTTTTTTTTCCTTTTATATACGATAAGTTGGATATATATAATACATATTTGTACAAAATAGCGTGGAAAAATTGTAAATTTTGTCTTCAATCTACTAATCGAGTTTAACTTCGGGTATTTTTGGACGGGTTGTTTCATCCCACCACTTTTATAGTATCGTTGACGTTGGTGTAAAATAATGAAACCATCTTTTGGTCTCTAGCTCCCCCCTACCCCTTCTCAAGGCCTCCCTACTATCACCCCTGGTGAGAACTTCCCTGCATCTCTTACCAATTTTTGTTAATTGGAATTGGTCGTTTGGTTCGTTCCTCTCGCTATAAACAAATTATTAATTTTATTTGCTTGATATTTAATAAAAAGAGAAATTTGTAGTAGCAATCCATAACATTTTTAATTTTTTTAGACTTTATCCTAATCTTTAATTTATCTCGACGAAGGTCCTTAACCTTTCAAAATATGCACACAAAATTTAACCGGATGGAAATCATCCATTTGACTGTTAGCTGACCAAGAAAGTGAACTTCGACCAAGTTTGACCAAATTAATAGGGATAAAATGGTTTTTGACAATTATCACGTTAAATAAATAATAAAAAAATTAAAAAAATTAGGGGGAAAAAAAAACCGAAAATGAAAAAAAGGGTTTCCCTCCTTCAAGCCGCCACCCTACGCCCGTCCCATTTCCCAATCCTTATCCCCTTTCCCAGCCAACAGCGACATCGGCAGCACTGCTGGCTGGTCGGTCACAGCCACCAATCTTACACAAGTCACACCGTAAACTGCCATCACAACTGCCACCATCAAACCAAAACCAATCAATGTTGACCTTTTAAGGTGCGCTAAGATTGGTTTTGGTAAATTTCTTATATTTCATAGCAGGATTGCAGCAAAACACCATGCCAATCATGTAACCAAACAGCAAGCGAGGTTTGACTGTGTTTGACTTCTCAATTTCCTTTTTTAAATAGCGCTTGAGCACCATTAATTAGGTTTTACTTTTAAATGGGCCGACGAGATTTTCCATAGATAGTATTGTATAAATTTGAACCGGAGGTTTGTCGGAGTACCGGGTCTTGTCTCGAAATGGCGAAGGAGTGAGGAAAATGGTGGGTGGGATTTTTGGTGGTTGGTTTTGGTTTGATGATGGTGGTGGTTTGTTTGCTAGGATCTGTTGCTAGTTGGTGAAAGGTGTAGCGACTGTGGTGGCGGTCCCAAACGGGGATAATTGTAGCGATGATGGCAGTCCAGTTTATCCCAAACGGGGTGGCAGTCCCCAACGGGGATAATTGCAGCGGGAAAGCTTTGTTAAGGCTTGGGAAAGATGTGATGGCCGTGGTTGTGGTTGTGGTTGTGGTTGTGGTTGTGGTAGTAGTTGGTGGTGGCTCTGATTTTTGGTTTGGGTAGGTGAAGGATGAGGGCTGGATATATCCATATATCTCTAAGTTATATTATGAGATGATAAAATATGACAAAAGTTACACCGAGAATTGGTTCACATAGCTTTGGTGTTCTCCCTGCATAGACGAAATTTTTTTCATAACTAACCGCCAATAAACGTAACTATTTTAGCTAATTTTGCTATTTTAAAAATTCAGACCAAGTTATTTTGAGGAATAGAAAATTTTATTTATTCATTCATTAGGGCATTTTAGAAGTATCAACCATATTTCAGATGAGAAATGTATGACTTAAAAAGTGACGAGTTGAATGATACTCAAAACTAAATATAAAGGAGGTTAATCCGATTTTTTAAACGTGAAAAATGTTTTTGATATTTTCATAAAGTTCAGGTGATGAGTGAAATTCTCTCTGAATAATTCACATACTTGTGATTTGTGAATAAATCTTATCTGGTTATTTGGATGTGTTCTTATATCCACAATTGTTCACGAATTTTCTGTACTTCATACATACCTTCATGTTTTTTCCAGTGTTATTCAAAGAATTGATTACACTTGCAAATAAGCACCGAATTCCAAATCTTAAATTTAAAAAATCCCAAGAATTATTTTTAGCCCATCTCAACTTAAAATTCTATCTTGTTCTTATATGCTATCAGTATCAGTATTAAATAAGATTAGATAGGATAATAGACAAGATTTTAATTAATTATTATTTTTTCTTGGGGTATACGTGGCAATAAGAAATGATGAAGAGCATATAAATTAAATCCCACCTGTAGCTAACCTCACCATAAATGACAGTTTTAAAGGCATTATCCCACTTCCAAGTTCCAAAATAAACCAGCTCCTTTCAACTCAAAAAAGATATGCAAGTTATGGTGCGTTTTGAAGTCCCTTCAAGATTTTTGTCCATACGTCGTAAAGAGAGATCCACGAAAAGGAAAATCACATCTTGAATGTTCGTGTCAAGTGTGTATAAGTTATGACAGCATTCGAATTTACTCGGTGGCGAATCGAGGGGGAAGGTCTCTATTTCTCAGAATTAGTTGGACAAAACTTGGACATTTGATTCATCAAAAAAATAATAATAATAATAATAATAATAATAATAAAGATATGCAAGTGGAACCAATGTTGAAATACTGCACAATCCAAATTAACTTTAAAAACGCGAAGTTCTACCTAGCGCTTATTTTAATGACAAAAGTCGCACTTCCACTAAAGCGTCAATTAAGCAACAGTATATTTCCACTTCTACTTCATTTTTTAAAAACTAACTTTACAGCTGCTATTGCCTTAAATTTGGACTTCTGGTATTGTTTTGACTCTTTGATCTTTTTTAGTTGGCATTCCCCCAACCAAAACACAACTGAATTGGCCACTTGAATTATTAAATTGACACTCTCTTTTTCACATTTATTGAAGCTTGTCAACAATTTCACATACCTTTGTTTCAGATGAATAATAAGTCCATTGTTTTCGAACTCTGATATACAATTTTTTATTCGAGTACTAAGCTTATGTTCATATTATTTCTAAACGTCAACTTCGACCAAGTAAATGTTGGATCGTATTGGGTTTTTCTCATCCCAAAAGTTAGATTAAGAGGTGAATCTTTTCCTCACACTTATAAATTGAGTACCAACCCCATCGACAACCGATGTGGAACAACATCAACAATCTCTCTCTCTCACATCAGCCCTATGAAAGACCAAACTCATCTCTCCTTTACACAATAGGGCCTACGGGAAATCAAACCCATCTCTCCCTCACACGAATCTGTATATTCGTGATTGTTGGATCGGAGACTTGTTGATAAATCGAGCTCTAATACTGTTGTTGGATGATATTGGATCTCTCTCACCCCCAAAAACTAGTTCAAAAGGTGATACTTTCCCTCACGCTTCTAAACTGAATACCAACCCCATTGACAACTAATATGGGACAACCTCAACAGTAAATAAATAGTTACTTAGAAATCTCTAATGATTTCAACTTTTTAATTGTGTAGCGTCGTACATGACCTAGTAAATGAAGTCTAATCTAGAGATGTGTGACGTGATTTATGAATTATTTGAAAATGTGCTAATAATATAAAAAAGAGAACTAAACAATAATATGATTAAGATGGTATCTCGTTAAACTGTCCATCCTTGATTTTAGTTCGCTCAGAACATTGGATGCAATATTTTATATATAAATAACTTAAATAAATATTTTCTTTGTCATTATTAAGGTATCTCGTTAAACTGTCCATCCTTGATTTTGTGATACGATAATACCATATTATAGATTATTTAATTACTTCTAGAAGGATTCAATCGTGCTCACGGATGCTTAGTTCATTATTAATTCCTTTTCTTGATTTCAAGAAGAACAGTTGAGATGAAAGTAAACTCCGTAACATGTTCATGGGATGGTCAAAAACTATTGCTCGATTTGTAGACTAAACCAATTAGTTACATAGTACCTGATTTTGTGGGAAGAATTGTGGAGGCCAATGTTACAAAAATCGGATACAATCAGTTAGATCGAAAAAATAAAGAACGGTTCAAACTTTGATTTGGATACAAGTTATCAAACTCATTAAAAACCTCAGAATTAGTCCGTTTACTTCTAAAATCAACGTTTATCCTAAAAATCGATCAGTTCACAAGAGAATTGAATTATTGATTTTTTAAAATGAAAAAAGAGTTGTATTTTTATTTATTAATTTGTTTTTATCGTGATTCTGCTCCGATTCGATTATTTAACTGTTAATTCTTTACTTTTCCTGATCTGAGCCAGATTTAAAGAGGTGGTTAAGTCTCGCTCTTTAGCCATGGCAATACTAAGCAAAAATTTTAGGATAAAGAAATGAAAATAAGGAAGAAACTAGTTACATACTAGCTGAGATATGTCGGTTTGACGGTCCTCTTATTAGAATTTTGACACTTCGTAATCCTATTCGAGTCTCATTTTTCTTAAAATTCATTTTTTCCAAATATAATTTCAACGATGCATTCTTTCATAAAATAATTTTACATGTAAATCCAAAATTTTCCTTATTTCTTAACTATATAACCCCCTAAAATTACTATTTCAAGACATATTTATACCAAAAAATGGAGCTCAAACAAGGCTAGATATCGTTAAAGAACTAGTAAGATTTTCTAGTTGTTAGCACCATCTAATTGATGTAGATTGAATCTACAAACACACGACAACAATAATCAAACGGATTGAATTCAGAAACAAACTTTTATTATTTCGTGAACAACTAAGAAAACCCTAGAAGGCGTCTTGCAGCGTCTTAAATATGAAAGAAAAGATAACCTACTGGCCAGCAGTTCCAAAATGGGTTGGGCTACAAAATGGAAATAACAAATGCTGAAAATAAATAACACAAAAACTTAAAATACTGTTTTGACACACTAAACGACTTCAAATGCCCAAAAATCCTCGTACGTCACGGTCAAGCTATGAGTTCAATCCGAAACGCTCGCTACCTTTCCGAAATGGGGTTATGGGCCCAAAACGGACACCAAACGCAAAAGTTACATCAATTTCTTTAAAAGCCGACCATCCAACCGTTCCATATATACCAATGCCTGTTCCTCCACATAAACGTGATCATTCTCCCCGGGATCAATGGGATTCGCCCTCAAATCAGAATCGGTAGCACTATCTCCCACGTTGTCTCCATGGTATGGCAAAAGATGTTTTACATTAAACACATCAGAAGTCCGTATATGGGAAGGAAGTCGAAAGCGATAGGTGTTGGGGTTGATCTTCTCCACAATTTCCACTGGACCAATGGTACGAGGTGATAACTTCGAATGCTCATGAGATGGCACTCGATCCTTAGTCAGTACCGCCCAAACATAGTCCCCAATGTCAAACTCAACAGGACGTCGATGCCGATCAGCCGCCTCTTTATACTTACGGTTGGACTCTTGCAGATTAGCTCGTGTTTCCTCGTGAACTTGTTGCAAACTACGAACAAAGTCAATAGCTGTCCCATGCAGCCGAGTCTTAGAGGGCAGAGTCAATAAATCAACAGGGCTGCGAGGCAAAATACTATACACAATCTAGAACGGATTGAAACCGGTGCTTCTATTTCTAGCATGATTATACGCAAACTTTACCTGGCTAAGCCACTGAGCGTAGATTATCCCCAACCAAGCACCGCAACAAGTCACCCAAAGAATGATTAACTACCTCTGTTTGCCCATCAGTTTGAGGGTGATAAGCACTACTAAAATTAAGTGACGTGTTAACTAACTTCCATAAACTCCGCCAAAAGTGACCGATGAACCTCGTGTCTCTGTCAGACACGATGGAAGTGGGCAACCCATGCAACCGATAAATCTCTCTGAAAAATAGCTGAGAAACCTTGACAGCATCAGTGGTGCGCTTGTAGGGAATGAAGTGCACCATTTTAGAAAAACGATCTACCACCACAAAGATGGAATCATTACCATGTTGTGTGCACGGTAAACCTAGGACAAAATCCATACTAATATCAGTTCACGGAGCTGAAGGCACTGGTAAGGGTCGATGAAGACTAGCGTTTGTGGCTTTCCCCTTTGCCACGTGGCACACCTTGCATCGTGAGACAAACTTCTCCACTTCACGATGCATAGTAGGCCAGAAAAATGAAGTGCTAATTAAAGCCAAAGTACGATCTCGCCCAACATGACCTTCACCATGAAACTCCTCAATCAATTTCAGACGAAGGCTGCAATCTAGTATACACAACTGAACATCTCGAAACACATACCCATCCTCTAACAGAAAAGAGGAATGAGGCCCTTGCAGTAAACTGTGATAGATGGGGCCAAAATAAGGGTCATCAGCATAAAGAGAGACAAAGGTCTCAAACCCGGTGACCGCTACCTATAGCCACGCTAATAACCCATGCTGCCGACTGAGCGCATCTGCCACACGATTAGAAGAACCAGCCTGATGTTTAATGACAAAGTTGAACTGCTGCAAAAAGGCAACCCATGATGCATGACGGGCAGATACAGACTCCTGGCTTGACAAATGCTTAAGGGCTTCATGATCACTGTATAAGAAAAATTCTCGCTGAAACAGATAATGTCGCCAATGACGAATGGCCTGAACAACAGCATAAAGCTCTGCGTCGTAAGTGCTATACCTCCCACGAGCCCCTGCCAACTTCTGACTGAAATAAGCTACTGGTTTTCCTTCCTGACTGAGGATAGCTCCGATACCCAATTTAGAGGCATCACAATGTAATGCAAAAGGTTTTGTGAAATCAGGCAACGCAAGTATCGGGGCTGAAGTCAGACGCTCCTTAATGATCAAAAATGCTTTCTCAGCCTCGGGTGTCCACTGAAACTTACTCTCCTTAATGCAATCGATAATGGGAGACATGATGGTGCTGAAGTGCTGAATAAATCATTGATAAAACGATGCTAAACCGTGGAAACTCCGCACATCAGAAACTGACTGTGGACGCGGCCACTGCCGAATCGCATCAACCTTAGCTGCATCCACCGTTACCCCACCGGCTGACACAACATACCCCAAAAATAAAACACTATCGGTATAGAACACACACTTCTTAGTGGCTACAAAGAACTTTTCCTTGCGTAAAACAGTAAGGACTTCCCTTAGATGCACACCATGAGACTCCTCCGACCCACTGTACACCAATATGTCATCGAAATATACAACAACGCACTTACCAATAAATGGTCGAAGTGCTTGGTTCATCACCCGCATGAACGTGCTCGATGCATTGGATAGTCCAAACGGCATAACTAGCCATTCAAATAATCCCTCCCGTGTCTTAAATGCTGTCTTCCACTCATTACCAGGACTGACTCTTATCTGATGGTAACCACTTTTCAAGTCCAGTTTGGCAAACACAGTTGCGCCGGCCAACTGATCAAGCAAGTTATCTAGCCTCGGTATCGGAAAGGGATAACGAACTGTTATTTTGTTGATGGCCCTACTATCTATACACATCCGATAACTCCCATCTTTTTTTTGGCACTAGGAGTGCGGGGGACTGCACACGGGCTGAGGCTCTCTCTGATGTACCCCTTCTGCACCAACTCCTCTACTTGTCTCTTCAACTTCTCATGTTCCATGGGCTCATTCGACAATGTGGGCGATTAGGCAATGACGCACCCGGTACCAAATCAATGTGATGTTGCATATCCCGCAAAGGCAGAAGACCTTGTGGAAGGTCATCTGGAAACACATCATGAAACTCAGACACCAAGGCAGCAGCTTTGGGGTGAAGACCCGTCCCCTCGGCTGCCATAGGAACTGTCGACACTCCTGTCACCTCAGTTCCCACTAACAACAGTACAACACCTTCTGCCAGCATCTCACTCACAAACAAAGATCGAGAAAGTAGATTACTACTGTCCCCTGCCGAAGACAGACACTGCGTATCTTTGGAGGGTAGTAGTACAATCTTTTTACCTAAAAAGGTGAATGTATATGCATTTCGACGTCCTTCATGGCACACATCCCTATCAAACTGCCATGGACGACCTAACAACAAATGACATGCATCCATCGGCACCATATCACACCAAACACCATCACGATACACACTGCCAATAGAAAAAGATACCAACACACGGCTAGTAACACGAATTTCATTACCTCGTCTCAACCATGCTAGGCTATAAGGAGCAGGATGAGGTTCGGTGCTTAACTGCAGCTTCTGTACGGTCGCTCTGGATATCACATTTTTGCAACTGCCTGAATCAATGATGAACCTACACACCTTTCCTCCAATGGTACATGTAGACAGAAAGATATTGTTTCACTGCAGGTCCTCAGACGACTCCTTAGGCGTAAGGCTCGCCCGTCGGACCACCAAAAGAGGCCCCGTGTCATCTGTATGCACAATTTCAGCCTCTTCTTCTTCATTCTCCACATGAACAGGATCGTTAATATCGGCTTGTGTTGTCCTTCCAATGAACAAACCTGGGCGTGGCTGCCCATGAGATGGACAGTCCTTCCTCAAATGACTAAAACCACCACAACCGAAACACTGACTTCCACGCCCTCGTCCACCAAGAGGAGCCCAGCCACCCAGATTAGCAGTTGGAGGAATCACTGCCCGAGTGTTCCGATCAACGCCCCGACCCCCAGATGTAAAGGATTGGGATGGACTAGATGTGGGATTTGAGGCGAATTTTCGACCCCCACCTCCAGATGGACCACCAGAAATGCCTATTACAGAACGACGTTGTTGTTGATTTTTAGCCTGAAGTGCTCGCTGGTGAGCCTCAGAAACAGATACCGACGAGAACATATTTATGACGTCTTGCAAATTCAATCGTAGTCCACCAATATAGCGCGCAACCAACTGGTCTTCTGATTCCCCCACATCATTTCGCGCTANCGTGAACAACCAAGAAAACCCTAGGAGGCGTCTTGCAGCATCTTAAATATGAAAGAAAAGATAACCTACTGGGCCAGCAGTCCCAAAATGGGCTGCGCTACAAAATAGAAATAACAAATGCTGAAAATAAATAACACAAAAACTTAAAATGCTGTTTTGACACACTAAACGACTTCAAATGCCCAAAAACCCTCGTACGTCACAGTGAAGTGGTGAGTTCAATCCGAAACGCTCGCTACCTTTCCGAAATGGGGTTATGGGCCCAAAACGGACACCAAACGCAAAAGTTACATCAATTTCTTTGAAAGCCGACCATCCAACCGTTCCATGTATGCCAATGTCTGTTCCTCCACATAAACCTCATCACTAATATAGTGAGTTGTCAAGACAATATTGAAATATGGATATGAATTTCAACTATTGTAATGTAACAAATATAAATAAAACAAAAGAAAAAATTTACAATGTAAATTGGACCCTGTTGACACATAAAAATTCAGCGCAAATCGAACGGTCCAAGGAATGAAGCCGAATTGGAAGATCCCCAAATTAGATAGCCAAAAGAACGAAGCCCAATCAGACAATTCAGGATGAAGGCCCAAATAGGGAGGCTCATGAGCGCGGTAACACCATCGCCCAAGCTTGCAAGTCGCCCAGGATCTGAGCGAATGGAGTGCCATGCAGTCGCCCAGAGCTGCTACTCTATTCTCGTCCAAACCTTCGAGTCGCCCAAGGTCTTAGCAAACATTAAGTGTTATGGTTATCAAGGAATGCAGTTATCAAAGCAGTTATTAAGCAGCCCTATCACGTTCCAAGATTCAAGAAATTCAATTGAAGACGGTTAAACGACAAAGAATAATGGCAGCAGTTAGAAAAGGCAGTTCCATGACAAGTTGGCCATTACGAGGAAAGTGGGCAGTTATAGAACGATCAAGCAGTTTTTAGGTGGTTGATAACAAAGAGATCATCCAGGGAGTATAAAAGGAAGAAAAAACATAGAGCAAAAGACCTCGAATCAAACACTCTCAAACAGAGAATATGTAACTTTCAATTTCTTAGTTTAGATTTAAACACTTCTTTTACAGTGACTCGCGTGCTTGCGCCCCTTGGAGGCATTCTATTTTTACTTTCCGATTATAAAGTCATCGCCAATAAAAACGCCCATTTTTGGGACTTTGTCTCAAGAGGTTTGTCTCTTACACAATCGTCTGATCCCTTTTTTAATTGTTAGCGACTAACCCGCGCGAAACAATTTGGCATGCCCAGTGGGATAGTGGTGTTTGGTGTTGAAAATATAAAAGGTGAAACAATATGCCTCAGAGATCCGACAAAGAACTAGCAAGTTAAGGAGGAGTCCAGTCTATGATCGAGCGATATGAGGAGCAGCATAGCTCTCTATGAGCAGATGGACAGAATCGGAGCAGTAACAGTCGTTACGAATCAATGGCAGAGTTGAGTCCTCGAACTATGCATGTATTGCTTGGAGAACTCACACAAGATGTCATTGAACAGGTAAATCTTCGAAATATTCATAATATGGAAAGATTTACCCAGAATGGGAATGCACATTATGACAACATGGCCAAACAACTGAATACTTTGAATGAAATAATGAATAAGTTAGTAGGCCAAATTTGTCAACCAGTTATGCTTCTTGCAAACCACTTTCAAATTAGGGCAGTTGTGGGACATAATCCCCAAGTCCTAAATCCAAGTCAAGGGGTAGAATCACATTTCGGTCCCTCTACTTCAAACCAAGGGGATGGTGTAATGCTAAATTAGAATAATGGTAGTAGTACACCTAAATTGGGGGTAATCCAAATGTAAAAGATAATGTCCTAAATAATGGGCAGAATACCCCACGTGAGGGAATAAATGTTTAGGCTAATGGTAACAATGGTCCAAATCATGGTAATTTTATTCCTAATCAAGGACAAAATATCAGGCCTCAAGCAAATCAATCGGTCAACCAATCTGTAGGGATTCCATATGACCCCAACATCATGTTGAGGAATCAGACTATGGAAATTGTACAGGACCAGATGGCTTTTGGGGTACGTCCTGTCATTAGGCCGACCTACACAAAGCCGTATTCTGATTGGATAGACCAAGCATATCCATGGCCTAGAGGGTATAAAATGCCAGAATTCTCGCTGTTTACCGATTTAGGGGAGGTGTCTACTCTAGAACACATAGGACGATTCACACTGCAAAGTGGTGACGTAACTGATTATCATAAAATGAGGCTTTTTCCTAGTTCATTAATAGGAGTAGCTTTCTCCTGGTTCATCAATTTACCAGCGAATTCTGTTCAAACATGGCAACAATTGGAACAGTTATTCCACGCTCAGTTTTATAAGACTGAGTTTGAAGTTACTTTGGCCGATTTGGCGAACCTACGTCAAATGCCAAACGAATGGGCGGAAGGTTTCCTCCAAAGGTTCAAGACAGTAAGAAGTAAATATTTTGTACCTCTACCCGAAAAAGAGTTTGTCAAAATCGCTCAAGGTTGTTTGAGTTTTGATTTAAAAAAGAAATTCCAAGATAAGGAATTTCCTGACCTTTTTCAATTAAGTGCAAACGTGATTAGGTATGAACGATTGATAAGAGAAGAAGAGCAGATGAAAAATTCTAGCAAAGGGACTTATTATAGAGACCCAAATTTTGATGTTCATACCATCAATAATGAGTCATACGATCAGACCGAAGTGTGTTTGGCCGAATTAGTCAAAGGAGACACGTATACTTGTCCCATAATGGCTAAGCCTAGACCATCAGGCAAAGATGAGCCTATGAAAGATAAAAACATGAAAACTAGAACGTTCTCGTTCAATGTGACCAAAGCTGGCCTTATATTTGATAAATTATATAAGGATAAGCAGATAATGCTGAGCGATAAGCATAAATTGCCAAACCCTGATCAAATTAAAGGTAAAAAATATTGCAAGTGGCATAATGCATGGTCATATTTGACTACCAATTGCTTGGTTTTTCGCCATGTGTTGCAGGATGCCATTGAATCAGGACGAAATACGTTCGATGATAAAAAGAAGATGGCAGTGGATGAAAACCCTTTTTCACAGCCACTTGGAGTGAATATGGTGACGTCTTATTTCAAAAACAAGTTGTCAAAATTCAAATTGGTTATAGATGATGGGGAAGAAGACCCTAGACCACATCCCAGTGTCTTTGAGCGTATTAAAATGAAGGAGCCAAAGAAGGATGAAGACGTCTTCTGTGCAAGATGTAAAAGAGAAGTGAGTGGGAATACGGAGAAATCAGGGACATGGCAGCATCCCCATCGCCCTGCGCTCCTCCCAAATGCTCAGCCTGATAGAGGGCGAGGTACATCGTTCTACAAGGGACCGCCTTTTGAGAGGCAGTTTAGGCCAGTAGATAATGGGAGAACATTCAGGCCGCAACCTCGCCGGCCAAATGTATGACATTCATTCCAGTATAATGCAGGAAGGGCAATACCCTTCGACGAAATGACCAGAACCCAACAAAGGCGTTTCCAACGATACTATGGACGAATGATGAGGCAGCAACAGGGAGTGTCACGTCCTAAAGTGTCTAAGCTACTCAAGGTAGCCAATCAAAATGTTCTCAAAGATAGTGAAGAGACCAATACAGATGAATCAATGAAAGAGCTGCCAGAAACTTCCTTTGGGAGATCAAAGTTTGAGCAAGATAGAAAACATGAAGAAGATCCAGATCAGCTCCTTACTATTCAATTCGGTACGTTATCTCCTGATGTGGCTAATAATTATTTACTGGCCAATGAGTTCAAGAGTAAAGAGAAAAAAGAAGAAGAAATAGAGGGTAACGAAGGAGAAGCATGCGTGCTGGAATATGAAGAATGCCAGACTTCTAGAGAGGCCTACAATGGTGAGGAAGATGATGGTATGATAAACATTGAAGAGGAAATCGATCTGGAAGCAGAAAGGAAAAGAAGGGGAGTATCGCACAATACTCTGTTGAAGCAACTACATCGAGAGGGAGTTCATGAAGTAGACTTACTGGAAGAACCATCTGGGCGTCCTTTCGATTTTTACGTGCTGTACGGGACGCCCAAAAGGAAAAAAAGAGTGCCTCGTTCTGAAAAGTATGGATCGCCTCCAAGAATAATGCCTCCTCCCACAGGTTGGGTAACTAAAGAGGAAGTATCAGAAAACAGTAAAAGGAAAATTCAGGAGACAGAAGCTAAGTGCGATATGCTGCATGTTGACTTATCACAAAAGGATAACTCAACAGAGGACAAGCAGGAAGTAGAAATAGAGGCTGCCGAAAATGTTATTTTTAAACGGCCAGCTATGAAATTGACTAAACACTTAAGGCCGCTGTACGTTAAAACTCTAGTTAACAGCATACCTGTAGCAAAAGTGCTTGTCGATAATGGAGCAGCTATAAACACCATTCCATCTATGATGATGAGGAAATTTGCAAAGACAGAAGGGGATATGATTCCAACAGAAGTCATCCTTACAATTTTCAATGGAGGAGCAACTGCAGCTAAGGGAGTTATGCCATTGGACATGACTATAGGTACAACTACTAGGACCACAGTCTTCTTTGTAATAGATGGTCCTACTAGCTACAATGTATTATTAGGAAGAGATTGGATATACGGAAGTTACTGTATACCCTCATCGCTCCATCAATGCCTGATTTTTTGAAATAACAAGGGTGAAACAGAGGTGGTACAGACCGATCATAGGCCTTTTGTTGCGGAAGCAAACTCAGTGGAAAAGTTCATGTACGAAGGAAACTATGGACCTGTCAGGGTAGTACAAGATGGGGAAGAAACTCAAGTTGTCGTGGAAAGCGAAGAGCCATTTTCAGTAGACGCACTCACTGAAATGTTCAGACAGATGAGGCCAAATATAGTGGCCCTAGAAGAGCCAGTAATTGGCAAAAGAATAATTAAAGAATTTTGAATGAGTTCTAAGCAACAAGAGCAAATGGTCGATATTCAGGCCTTCAAATTCAAATTAGTGGCTTTCAATAAAGAATGCAATGACAAGGCGAAAGAAGAGGCAGCTCTGAAAGAGCTGAAAGACAAATTAGCAGTATTCGAATTGGAACAAAATATTGGCCGAGAAGTCAACAAGGTGGATTGTTTAGAAGAAGAAGTGCTTACAAAGGAGCTGGACGATGAGGTAATGCGGATCATCAAGCCTAGATACGCTCAAGCACAAGACCCTCTAATTAAAGTAAATATTGGCAATGAAGGAGAAGATCGTCCAACATTCATCAGCCACATGCTCGATCAAGAGGTTAGTGATAAATTAGTCGCTTTGTTAAAGGAGTATAAAGATTGTTTTGCTTGGAAATATGAACAAATGCCTGGTTTAGATAGAGACTTAGTGGAACATAGATTGCCAACTAAGCCTAATTTTAAACCTCATAGGCAACCTCCCAGACGTTTTGATTCTAATGTACTCCCTGAGATTAAGAAAGAGATAGAGTGATTATTAAAAGCAGGCTTTATTAGAACAGCCAGGTATGTCGAATGGTTGTCCAATATCGTGTCAGTACTAAAAAAGAATGGTAAACTAATGGTGTGCATAGACTTTAGAAATTTAAACATAGCCACGCCCAAAGACGAGTATCCAATGCCCACGGTAGATTCTTTAGTAGACTCAACTCCCGGACACGTCATGTATTCTTTCATGGATGGGTATTCAAGATACAATCAAATTTATATAGTTGAGGAAGACATACACAAAACTGCCTTTAGATGCCCTGGGTCTCTAGGATGTTTCGAATGGGTAGTCATGCCTTTCGGCCTGAAAAATGTAGGAGCGACTTATCAAAGGGCAATGAATTTAATTTTTCATGATATGATAGGCAAGTTTGTTGAAGTGTATGTAGATGGTCAAATCCATTAAAGAAGAGGACCATTTCGAACAGTTAAGATGTTCATTTGAGTGAATGAAACAATATAAGCTAAAGTTGAATCCCTTGAAATGTGCATTTGGTGTCAATGCAGGGAACTTTCTTGGTTTCTTGGTACACAAAAGAGGGATTGAACTTGATAAAAATAAAGCAAAAGACATTCTAGAAGCCAAACCACCTAGCAACAAAAAAGAATTGCAAAGATTTCTTGGCCAAGTAAACTTTTTAAGACGCTTTATTTCTAACTGTGTAGAGCGAACTAAAGTCTTTTCGCTACTTTTAAAGCTGAAAAATCATGACGAATTCGTCTAGAAGGAAGAACATCAAAAGGCTTTTGAAAGCCTGAAGACATATTTGTCAAGTCCACCAGTGTTGGTATCACCAATCCAAGGACGACCAATGAAATGTATGTATCGACTGAAAAAGAATCAATAGTTGGAATGGTTGCGCAAGAAGATCAATTTGGTGAAGAGAGGGCGATTTACTATTTGAGTAGACGGTTGACAAAATGTGAAAGTAATTACTTTGCTATCGAAAAACTATGTCTCGCATTATATTTCACATGTACAAAATTAAGGGTTTATTTACGGCCCGTAACCGTTTATTTAATTTCTAGAGCAAATTTGATTAAGTATATGTTCTCTCGCCCTATTTTACACCAAAGGGTAGGCCTTTGGACGTTAGCTTTATCAGAATTCGAAATACAATACATACCCCAAAAGGCACTGAAAAATCAGGCTTTGGCTAACTTTTTAGCCGATCATCTATGCCTTGACATGCCTGAAGAAATTGAATTAGAAATCAATTCGTTCGAGCTAAAACCTTGGGTGTTGTATTTCGATGGGTCAAAAACCTCTAGAGGTGTAGGTGTAGGAGTAGCATTGATAAATCCTTTAGGGATTTGCTACAAATTCGCATTCACTTTGGATAGGATGTGCACCAATAATCAGGCCGAATATGAAGCCTTAATCGTAGGCCTGGAACTAATGATAGATATGGGGGTTATAAGGGTTTGCAAAACGTCGTACCTTTTCAAGCTATGGAAGGAAACAATGATTGAAATTCTTGGAAATTTCGAATGTTGCTGGAAACACAAAGTAAATATGGCAAAATTTAATAATTGGTATTAATTCTGCCATATTGGGGGTAATTGTTGACACATAAAAATTCAGCCCAAATCGAACGGCCCAAGGAATAAAGCCCAATTGGAGGATCCCCAAATCAGATAGCCCAAAGGACGAAGCCCAATCAGACAATTCAGGATGAAGGCCCAAATAGGGAGGCTCATGAGCGCGGTAACACCATCACCCAAGCTTGCAAGTCGCTCAGGATCTGAGCAAATGGAGTGCCATGCAGTCGCCCAGAGCTGCTACTCTATTCTCGCCCAAACCTTCGAGTCGCCTAAGGTCGTAGCAAACATGAAATGTTATGGTTATCAAGAAGCACAGTTATCAAAGCAGTTATTAAGCAGCCCTATCACGTTCCACGATTCAAGGAATTCAATTGAAGACGGTTGAACGACAAAGAGTAATGGCAGCAGTTAGAAAAGGTAGTTCTATGACAAGTTGGCCATTACGAGGAAAGTGGGCAGTTATAGAACGATCAAGCCGTTTTTAGGCGGTTGATCACAAAGAGATCATCCAGAGAGTATAAAAGGAAGAAAAGACATAGAGCAAAAGACCCCAAATCAAACACTCTCAAACAGAGAATATGTAACTTTCAATTTCTTAGTTTAGATTTAAACACTTCTTTTATAGTAACTCGTGTGCTTGCACCCCTTGGAGACATTCTGTTTTTACTTTCCAATTGTAAAGTCATCGCCAATAAAAACGCCCCTTTNTATATTTTTTTGTCAACTTATATACTGTTAGCCCACCAGATTTTTGAACACAAGTTAATGCCCAGCTCATATCAGACGCCTCCAAATCTTTGATATAATCAATAACAGGTTCATCCGATTTCATTTGTAATGCTTTTGCATTTGAATTTTCTCTTTAAAATTTTTTCTGCCACTTGGAGCCTCATTTTATAGCAATTTGCCATTTCTTAAACGTAATCTTCTGTTTTCATGGTCTATTCTCTTGTGGGTCATTCTTTCTGCAATTCCGAGTTTGAATTATTGGGTTATCTTTCACTGGGCTATGTGAAAAGTACCCAGGCATTTTCCATTGTTTTGTCAATTTCTGAGTTTCTTGTACCTGTTTCTTAGTCTTGGAATTATAGGGCTTTCTTGGTTGATTATTTATCTTGTTTTTCTGTGCTCAAATTGTCATATTTTTGGCTCTGCTTTTCTCGAATTCAGTTGAGTTATACTTGTTGATGGGAACGTGGGTGTTCTTGTGTATCAGTATTTGGTGCTTGTTTATTCTGTTTTTACTGGAAACTTGCACGGCTAGTATTCAAAATAAAGGCAACTTGAAGCCAGGTTTTCAGGGATCTCAAATGTTTTGGATTGACAATGATGGGTTCTTTCTAGTATCCAACAATTCACATTTTGCTTTTGGATTCACCACCACCAAAGATGTCACCTTGTTTCTACTTGTTGTCATTCACAAGGACAGTTCTTCTATAGTGTGGTCTGCTAATAGAGGCTCCCCAGTTCGAAATTCAGATAGTTTCATGTTTGACAATAATGGGAATGCTTACTTACAAAGGGGCGGAACCACAATTTGGTCGACAGGTACCTCTAAGAAAGGTGTTTCAGCAATGGAATTGCTGGACTCGGGAAATCTGGTTTTGCGTGGAAGTGATGGAACTGTAGTTTGGCAGAGTTTTAGCCATCCCACAGATACACTACTTCCAAACCAGGAGTTCAGTGAAGGGACGAAACTCGTAAGTAATCCTGGATCCAATAACTTGAGCTATTCCCTTGAGATTAAGTCTGGAGATATGATTCTTTCTGCAGGTTTTCAACCCCCACAGCCATACTGGGCCATGGGAAGTGACACACGAAGAATCATCAATAAAGATGGCAATAACGTCACTTCAGCCACTCTTAATGCCAATTCTTGGAGATTTTATGATGGAAATAAAGCCTTGCTCTGGCAATTAATATTTGACGATAGTAATGCAAATGCAACTTGGGTTGCTGTTTTGGGAGCTGATGGTTTCATTACTTTCGTCATGATTCAAGGAGGTTCTACAAATCCCTCCTCATTAAGAATACCAGAGGATCGGTGCAGAAGACCTGCAGCTTGTGATCCCTATTATGTTTGTTATACTGGCAACAAGTGCCAGTGCCCATCAGCACTTCCCTCTTGCAAATTTGGAGCACGTCCTTCATGCTATAACTCGAAGGATTCTGGGGAGCTTGTAAGTGCAGGTGATGGATTCAGCTACTTTGCACTTGGCTTTGTCCAACCATTCTCTAAAACCGACTTAAACAGCTGCAAAGATTCTTGCCTTAGAAATTGCTCTTGTGGTGCTATGTTCTTTCACAGCAACTCAGGGAATTGTTTTCTGTTTGATCAGATAGGAAGCATGCAAGGATCACTCAATGGGGCCGGCTATGATTCTTACATCAAAATCTTTAGTGATGGCGGTAAAGGGCAAAACAGTGGAGGCAGTGACAAGCGCTTTCCTATAGTCATTATCGTTTTAATTTTGATATTTGTTATGCTGAGTTTGCTTTTTGCTGGATTTTATTACTGTAAGAAGAAATGGAAAGAGCCAGATTTCCAAAAAGAGAGCTCGGAAGAGGACAATTTTTTGGAGGGTTTATCTGGGATGCCTGTCCGTTTTAGTTATAAAGATCTTGAGACTGCAACAAGTAACTTCATTGTGAAACTCGGGCAGGGAGGGTTTGGTTCAGTTTATCAGGGGTCTCTCCCTGATGTAACTCGAGTGGCTGTGAAAAAATTGGAAGGTGTTGGTCAGGGAAAGAAAGAATTTCAGGCTGAAGTTAGTATCATAGGCAGCATCCATCATCTTCATCTGGTAAGGCTTAAAGGCTTCTGTGCTGAGGGAAGCCACCGACTTCTTGTATATGAATACATGGCAAATGGATCTTTAGATAAATGGCTTTTCAGGAAAAACAAAGGCGAGTTGATGTTGGATTGGGATACAAGATTCAATATTGCAGTGGGTACGGCTAAAGGCCTGGCTTACCTCCACGAGGATTGTGATGTAAAAATAGTTCACTGTGATATTAAACCTGAAAACGTGCTTCTTGATGAACACTTTATGGCTAAAGTTTCAGACTTTGGCCTGGCTAAGCTTATGACCAGAGAGCAGAGCCATTTTTTTACCACATTAAGGGGCACCACGGGGTACCTCGCACCAGAGTGGATCACAAACTATGGCATATCAGAGAAGATCGATGTTTATAGCTATGGAATGTTGTTGCTCGAATTGATCAGTGGCAGAAGAAACTATGATAATGCAGAAAGTTCAGAGAAATCTGATTTTCCTTCCTTCGCTTTTAAGATGATGGAAGAAGGAAAATTTTATGAATTAATTGACACTAAACTGAAGATAGACGAAGAGGACGCAAGGTTTGCCACAGTAATCAAAGTTGCTTTATGGTGTATACAGGATGATATGTACCTCAGGCCACCAATGACGAAAGTAGTGCAAATGCTCGAGGGGGTCTATCCTGTCCTCCGACCCCCAACTGCTTCTCAACTTGGTTCCCGGATTTCCTCGAATTTCTTGTCGGACTGTAATAATGATGCTTATCTTTCTGCAGTTCGCCTTTCCGGTCCAAGATAGCAGTTGCAGATGATGATGATGATGATGAGTCATTGGCGTGTTTGTGGTTTTCATATTTTAGTGTTTTCTCTTGTACATGTATTAGGGCTGCTAAGAAGTCTTGTTTCTATGTAGTATTGATTGATGCCCAAAAAAATAAAATAAAATAAAAAATTCTATTGCTTGTTTAGAACTATCTAACCTTCAATCCATGTTCAAAGATTAGCGAGCAATTCTTCGAAAGTAATGTGCTAGAACACTTTCTCATCCCAATGTGGCCTGCAACTTCATTTGAATCTGGATCTTCTCCATAAATTAGGATCAGCCACTCATTTGGAATATATTACTTGGTCTGGCCTGACTGATCAAAGATCTCGTTATTAATTATTAGCTCAAAACTTTGCAATACAAGTAAGAATGAGAGCTCATTCGCCCCGTTTAGACTTCTCATTTCTTCAAAACTCACTTTCAGTCACATTTTTTCATAAAATAATTTTTCATGTAAACTTAAATCTTTTCCTTATTTTTGAACCATACTGTAAATCACACAAGCATGCTTCTCACCAAGTTTGGAATGGTAGAACTTACTTGAAATCCTAAAAATGAGATTGAATAATTTGCCTTTGATTTACTTGCTTTCTACACCGCCTTCTACTAACTTCTTGGTTAGAAACTCGATTACAAAAATGGGAGTTTGAATAGCAACAACCCGAATACCAATTTTGAGATGTAAATCTTACCAATATCAAGCCACATCCCCTTGTGTATTTTGTCTATATGTTCTACCTGAAATTTGCATGATTTCATATGATTATTTGGTGTATTGGAAGTTACATAGAGTTTGTGGGTGGTGACATATTGAATTTCAAACTTAAAATTCATCTCCTCCCTCCAAAAATCATTTCTTGCAAACCAGTTTGGATCAATTCACATGGATGACCCATTTCAATCAATATGTCCCACTCGTACATGATAGGCTTGACTTGATTCTAATATAATATCAATTATATTTATTTCAACATCTCCTAGTTCATACTGGTAAATGGATCGTGGATGACCCATTTTAATCAACATTTCCCACTCATATGTGATGTGCTTGACTTGATTCTATTATAATATCAATTATGTGTATCTCAACATCTCCAAGTTCTTAGGGTAAATGGATCATGCGACTAGCGAATTAATTTAAGAGTACACAGTACTATACACCCATTAACGATATAGAACAGCTCTACAAGAGAAAATATATTTCTTGCTATACTTTTCACATATTTTAACACCAGTTCAAGTATTTCCGATCTCTCAATTAATCAAATAACATATTCAATTTTCTCATTTATATTATGTTCACAATTGTGGGACAAAGCTCAAATAGTTAAAATAATTGTCTAGTTCATGAATACAAACTAAGGTGTTAGATAAATAATGTTCTTTTCCTACTTGAATTCTTTAATTTTAAGTCAGCTGCTTTCCTAGACATATCCCATCAAATCGAATTAACAATAGTTATTGACAACATGCCAAAATAGCAACACCGAAATAAAATTTTGAGAAATAGTTAAAAGTTATAAGATTATATAAGTGGGATCATATGTGCCTCAGAGAGTTACATAATGAAGAAAGGTGGATCACTTCTTTCGTTTCTTATTTATCGCTAAAGCACACATGATATGAATACGTATTACGATATTTTCTCTCTTTCTTAGAGCTATATCTCATCTTACAAATTAAATACATTGTTAAGATATTACTTGGTATTTAATCTGAGCTCTCCTTATATATATTCCTCTAGGCAATCCCAATTAAGAACTTCGTCTGACTATAAAACAGGCCTAATGGATAACGAAATTTATTTCGATTACTTGCTGTAATCTTATATTAATATCCTATCAAGGTGATTGGATTATGTACACAACATAATCTCTATGTCTTATCTCAGAACACCCCAAAGTATTTGAGGAAATTGCTCATATGAGTGAACAAATCTCAACATGTTTGACATACTTTATGTGTGCATATTAAACAATAATCTAGTAATCAAAACAAAACATTTCTCAACATATTGTTCATTAATAGACTTATATGAAAAGTTTTCATAGTAGATATTTAAATTTTATGTAATCCCGAAAGATTTAACATGAGTTACAAAGACATCTCTAGGAATAAATTTAGTAAATGGACTAGTTACCATTTGGTGCATATAAATATATTACAAACTTACTTCTTCTTCTTTTTTCTTAGTGATGTCTCTTCCAAAATTGTATTTTGTATCAATATGTTTGGTTTGACTATGATACTTGGAATCCTTTGTATATTCAATATATGCTTGATTATCACAGTAAATCAATTTACACCACCATTAAGGAGACTTAAACACCAAAAGAATCTCCTTGACCAAATAGCTTCCTATACTGCTGAAGCACATACTATGAATTCTACTTCCACTGAGATAAGGAAATGAATGTATATTTCTTACTACTCCAAGAGATGGTGCCATTGTTAAGCAATAATACATATTACAAAGTTGATTTGTGCTCATCTAGGTTTCCAAACTAGTTAGCATCTGTATATCCTTTTAAGCACAAAATATTTTCCTCATAGCATAGGAAATAATTAGCAGTACCATTCAGGTACTTTAATATCCTCTTAATAGTTTTTCAATGCTCTCTTTCGAAATTTAATTGACACGTGTTGACTAAATCAACATATCAAATGTCAGGGATAGTGTACATCAAGTTCCCGACTACACTGGAGTATGTGCTATAGATAATTCTTCTTTATCTTTAAGAATCTTAGGATGCATGTAAAGATTTCAAAAGATCTATATGGATTTTAACACCTAATATGTAATATGCTTTCCCCATGTCCTTCATTTCAAAATTCAAGGACAGTCATTTCTTAATGGTTTATATACAATCATTATCGTTCCTAGTCAATAAGATGTCATCTACATAGAGATATAAAATTAGAAATGCCTTATTGAACATTTTTCAAATAAATACAGTGATTTTCATCTATCATGACAAATTGTACGAGATAACTGCTTTGTCAAATCTTAAGTATCACTATCTAGATGACCACTTTAGGCTATAGATTTATCTATTCAATTTATAAATTTTATTCACGTGAAGTGTTTTAAAATGGTTGTTGTATGTAAATTTCTTCATCCAATTCTCCATTGAGAATAGTAGCCTTTACGTCAATTTGATGTAATTCTAAATCTAAACATGCCTCTATGACAAAGAGTAAGTTAATTGAAGTAAATTTTACTACTAGTTAGAATGACTCTTCATAATCTATACTCTTCCGTTGAGTACAACACTTTGCTACCAAGCGAGCCCTATATCTCTCTATAGTTCCATCAGTTCTTAACCTTATTTTGAAAACACATTTGTTTCCAATATCTCTCCTACCAGTCAAAAGATCAACCAAGTCCTAAGCTTGCTTGGATTTCATAAACTTCATCTTCTTTTCCATTGCATTCTTCTACTTTTCCTTTGCAAGACACGATAGAGCTTCTTGTATTAATTTGGTTCTTCATCATCTTCTGGAGATACTAGGAAAACTTGCCCTTTATTCTTAAAGTAAAGTCTAGGAATACTTTTCTAGTACTATTACAAAGTGAAAGCGTTGATATGACCCTGTCACTTGGAGATAAGTTGCTCCCACTTGGATTAATAGGTGAAATTGCTTCATCTTGTACTACAGTTAAATTCATCAAGTACAACTCTATCATCTAATTCAAACAAAAGTTCTTCCTTTTCAATTTTTCCTCTACTAGGAAATCACTTTTCAAGAAATGTTACATTACGTGACTCTATCACAGTTATTGTCCCATCATGAGTATCTTATAAAGATATACTTCTTATCCTGCTTGCCCAATTTTTGAAACTTTCTTGAAAAAATCATGTATATAGGCAGTTGATCTCTAGGACCTCAAATAATTCAAATCAAGAGATCTACATGTCCAAAGCTAATATATTGTAGTAAGTACGTATTTAGATGAAACTCTATTCAGAATATAGGTTGCAATTAACAAAGCATCTCCCTAGTAAGAAATGGGTAAGTTAGCCTGTGCCATCATCGACCTCACCATTTTTAGCAACGTTCTATTTCTCCTTTTAGCAACATAGTTTTGTTTTAATAGTTTTGGAATAGATAATTACCTAAGGATTCCTTTATCGTTACATAGTTTTTTTGAAATATTTGGTTAGATATTTATGCCCTCAATCAGTTCTTAAGGCTTTTACCTTTTTATATAATTGATTTTCCACCATATTTAAATATCGTCTGAAGCATTCTAATGCCTCTGACTTATGAAAAATCAAATAGATATAACTATACCACATGAAATCGTCTCTAAAAGTAATGAAATAAAAGGCTCCATGTCTTGCACTTACATTGATAGGACCACATATATCTGAATGTACTAACTACAATGAAAGTTCAGATCTAAAGGCTTTACTGAATGGTTATCGTATTGTTTTTTTGATTAGGCAATGTTCACAATTATTTAATAAAACATTATAGATTGAACCTAGCAAACCTTCTTTAGCTAACCTATTCATTCCCTCTTGTCCAATATTCATAATCTAGCATGCCATAAATATGTATCGACATTCAAATCTTTAGAAAAAGAAGAAGATGCATTTATAGATAAACAACGATCAATGTAATAGTTATAACTTATAAGTATTAGGATCACAATCCGACATTACAAGTTCACCTGACATATCAATATCTATACTAAAAATTGTCATTACAAATACGAGTAGAAGTACCACAAAAATTCAAACTAAAACCTAATCTTAAAAGAATAAAATGAAATGAAGTTTTCTTGTATCTTTGGTGCAAATAGGATATCATGAAAGAGAATAGTATGGCCATATGCTAATGCAACTTGTAATGTACCAACTCTTTTGCCTCCACTCTATCATCGTTATCGATGTATATCTACCTTGTACCAACTAGAAATCGACAAAACTTCACAATTGCTTCTTAATCCCAGGTTACATGGTCTGTTGCCCTGTGTCTATAATTCACATAGGATAAGATTCAACTAGCATAATAGTGTTAAAACATAATAGTACTAAAAGAAATATTTGCAAGAGCTACCTTATTTGGCACAGGACATTCTTGAGCAAAGTGACAAAATACCTGACAGTTGAAGCATTTCAACTTGTT